ACGAACACCGGTGTCATTCGGCCTGCACGGTAGGTTTTTATTTCGGTGTTCCTGTTTATCTTAAAATTTTACGAAGCAAGCTCTTAACACAAGATATTCTACCACGTGGAGCATATTTTACATTTTAAAAGAGGTTACCGGTTTCCATATGATCAGTGTCCTTCATTAATTTGTAGCAGATCGAGATTGAGCTGCCAAGTCTGTTGTCGGTCGCATGTGCACGATAACGCTGTATCTGCATCTGTTGGGTAGTACAGTTTTTCCAGTCCGTGGACAGAATTGTCATACTGAACGATTTCTGTCACAAAGCAGACAGCGACTTAGTCAGTCCTCGAGCATTTTCGAACAACAGGTTTGTTAAAAAGTAATCAAGCCCAGGGGGTACGCAGCTTCAAGTTTTTTATCGCTTTATTTTTCATATATTATGTCTTCTCCTGTTTTCCAGCATGACCCCTTCTTAACTCACCGCTACATTATTTTCCCCCATGACAATAAGCGTCCGGCACCCTCAACGGCAGAATCATATCTAACTACATCATGTCATACCATGCTACCTATTAAGGCAGTTTTTTCTCCTGCATTTTTTGGAAATCGGTGGTTCGCTGAACTCATCCACCGATGTAGGAAATTTTTTATTGCCCAGAAAATTATTTTATAGGAGAGTTCGTTGTTAATCGGATCTAACTAACCATTTTACCACGCGTAACATACTACTATGACCTGTTGTCATAGGGTTGCTTACGGGCAGCTGTGTTTTTTTCTCTTCACGATAGCAATAAGTTTGTAACGAAAGGGCCCTTTGGGCATTTAATATACAATTTATTTATTATTATTATCAATGGAGGGGGTAGGGAACGAATCCGTGGAAACCCTTCTTTGCAACCACCGGACACGTGGGAGTTTTCAGATTAGACCAAGCCCCTCGCCAAAGCAAGAGCACTCCCCTTAGAACGTATTTCTTTTTGGAATTTGGAATTTATATTTGTACGCATCAGGAAGACACTATCTAAACAAACTTAGTTTAGGGGAAAAATGATGACGAAATGCGCAGATAAATACAAATAGGTAATAATGTCAACAGAAATTGTCCTTTCAATGCAATATTTGGTGATGTTTTGTAATTAATGGTGAACTAGAAAATAGGCAGTTAAAAAACTCCTACAATGCAATAGGAGGCAGAGTTAAGCGAGCCTCCATTTTCAAAAAGTGTGTGCAGAAAATAAGACAGAGGTATAGAGTGGGCAAATACTTTAATGGTCATTCAAAACATGATAATTAAATGTGTGTATAGTTCACTTGTTGACGCTAAAACGCACAACATGAAATCTCACGAAAAGCCATCACTTGGCGTAGGGCCTCGATATATCAGGAGCCAAAACTGAATTCTGATAACTTGAGCGTCCAACGAAACGGAAGCAATTCAGACTGAGTACGTTCATATCGCTCCCACCATCTCAATGACTGAGGGTTTATGGAGACATGTAGGTTCCCGGAGAACACGAGGCAGAGAAAAATAATCTCAAGAGTATTTCATTAATTCCCGATGGTCATTTCTCCGAGTCATGGAGAAAGCGGTTCGGTTAAGATAAAAGTGCAGTCTTCGTTTGAAAGCAGACAAACTAGCTAACGACATAATTTCAACTGGAAGTTATTCTAAAGAAAGCTCTATCTGAAAGCAAAGAACAGAGGGCGTATAGGAGTTAAGGCTAAAGTGG